TGGGTGGGGACAAAGAACTAAACCATATCATACAGTTTCATGGTTTTGTAGTAGCAGATATACAAGTACATTCACCAGGCTGTGGGAAACTGGCCCCATGGGGCTTCTGAGCAGAAGTGAGACCATGTCAATCATTGCTGAAAACGATTTCCACCTCATACTGCAGGAAGAAGACTGAAGGCTTTCAGAGGCTATTGCACAATTTGAAGCATAAAACAATGAGGGCTTAAGTGAGAGGAATGGAAAACAAGGGGTAGAGTAAGCAGACCCTTCTCCACCAAGGTCTTGCAAATCATTCCAATCCAGTCATTTATACAATCTTTGCCAGTTACCCCCAGACCCCATCAAAAGCATTATTTCAGCTGAGGATCCAACATGGGGTGCCACCTCCTCCCTAGCACATGTGGCCAGAGCATCAACTCACTGTAGTCCTTTTATTTGGAATTAAAATATAGAGGAACAATTTAAAAAGGATGGAACCAATGCATCTCAACATTCTCTTTATTGGCAAATAAATAAATAAATAAATAAATAAATAAATAAATAAAATCCAAATTAGGTTTTTATTACCCTGACGGCACCGAGAATCATCTGGCTTGTGAGCTTTTAAATACTCAGCTTATAATGAACATCTCCAGCCAGATCCCGTGGGCATCACTCGTGGAGACTGGTCACAGGGTGGGCCCACATGTCCCTTGCCTCCTGCTAGGCTTTCAAAGGGAGCCTGTGATGCCTACATATGAATTGCACTGAATTGCTCTTGATTAAATCACTGTAATTTTTTTGTTACTCTATGCTTTACATTAATATGAGTCGAATAACCGAGGTTTTTTTTTTTTTCACTAATCCCAGGTCCAAATTAGACTTTTCTCATCCAGAAGTGTTGGGAAGAAGGAAAATAAAAATAATGAGTATGAGGAAGAAGAAGAGAAATCGCTGATAGTGAGTGGTTTTGCTAAGCACCTGGCATTTTGCTGAGTGCTTCTCGTGTTACATTGTGCCCTGTGAAACTGCCATTTTTATGGGTCCCATGTTTATATTGTTTGACCCACTACGTTGTCTCCTATCATCCTCACAGCAAGTGAACTGATACTGTCATTGTCCTCTTTTTATTCGTGGATACACTGAGGCTGGAGAAGAGTGTGGTCCAAGCATGTGGTCAAGCCCAGCTTGTCCCAGCTCTGACTCCAGGGACTGTGCTGCTAGCTGATACCCTTGAGTGCCCTGCCCTGACCTAGTTCCCCAGTCTTTTTTCTTTTCCCTTCTTCCCCAGCCTCTACTCTGAGCTGCATGCTGCTGATGAGAAAAGACAAACAAACAAGATGGACAAGATGGTACCAAATGCAGAGTCATGTGGACAACGGGACTGCTTGGATTGAGTGGCTGGGGCAGTTGTACCTTCATGCTGCTGGAATGGGAAGCCAGAGCTTATTGAAGGCAAGTGCATGTGGACATTCCCAGCAGAGGAGGGGTAGAGCTCCCAGGGAACCACGGAAGCACCCACACGGAGCAGCTGAGGATGTGGCCTGGGAAGGATGCCATGTGACCACGTTTCCTCTCTGTTTTCCAGGCCACCATGGCTGACCACCCAAGCATCCAAGTCAATAAGTCTTTCACTGAGAGAGATCTGATGCCCCGCACAATCTCGCCCCAACTGGGAGGGTCAGCACAGGCTTTGTCTTCTCCTTGCACTTACTGAAGTTTATTTAACAGTTTGGACCTTGCCTGTTGAATCTTGAAAATATCACAACTATGCATATACTGTGTTCTGAAGAGCTTACCCAAACACTATTTATTAGTCACTTTGATCTAATTCATCACATGCAAAAATCTCAAACAAGCACTAAGTGTCCTTTCAGGGGGACGTGTTAAGGTAGTTAAAAGTACGCCTAAGCCCATGTTTCCCACGGCTCGGGCCACGGGTGCCATGGGTTCAAAAATGCAATTAAAAGAAGACCGTCAACTTCATCATTGTCAAAACGCCACATCACCCCCTAAAAGAGAGGCGCCCCCTTCGTCAATTTCTCCATCCATGCCAAAGTTTTGGAGAGACTCTTCACTTTATAAATCAACTCACAGCTTAGAACATCCTGGCAGCCCCTTCAAGGAACCGATCGGAATGACAGGGAAAGAGAGGATAACCATCATAGCTTGACTGGATACAGGTGTTTGCGTTTACAGACGAACCACAAACGCCTGGATCTTTGACAGGCGTTGATGCTATCAGTGAATCGCAGCTATTATTGGCTCCGGTCACCAAGGGCTCGGGGGCCTTTCCCTTAGCAACATCTCTGAGGCTGATAACATTTGGCTGAACTTTTCAGATCTTAACCTCCCTTCTGACTTTCTGCAGTCAAACCCGCCTAAACTGATCAGAAGAAGAGACACGCAGTGGGAAGACAAGTAAAATATTATTGACTGGACTGTTTCATGTCTATTAGGAAGAAAGAGCACAGAGGGGAGGGAGAACCTCACAGTCTGACAGGCGTCAAGATAATCAGGGGAGGAATCGGGGCTGCGCAGTAACCCTCGATGAGGTTGGAAAGCACTGGCTTACAAGAGGTCATTGTTCTGCGCGGGGAACAAACAGGGCGCCGGGCAAACAAGGGCACGATTGCATTCCTCTACGGGACCCGTTCCTTGTCAGCAGGCCCTGCTCCTGCAGCAAAGCATAGGATGGGAAACAAAAACAGGAAGTAACATGGCTCGAGGAAGAAGCAGGGGCTCCCCAACTTCATCCAAAGGCTTCAGTTTCTGGAAGCAACAGTATGTGCTGACCCTCCATGCACCCTGGTGCGTGGGGCCTTTGTGCCGGGCAGAGATGGGACCCAGAGGGACAGGCGATGTTGCTCTGGGAGAATTTGGTTTTGGCAATTGGTATTTTCTTTTGTGTGTTTTTGTGTGCGTATGTGTGTGTGTGTGTGTGTGCGCGCACGCGTGCGCGCGTGATTTATTTTTTTAATTTTAGATTCAGGAGGTGCCTGTGCCTGTTTATTACATAAGTATATTGCATACTGGTGAGAATTGGGCTTCTAGTGTATCCATTAATCGAACAGTGAACATTATCCCTGATGGGAAATTTTTCAACACCTGCCTCACTCGCACTCTACTCCCTTTTGAAGTCCCCAGTGTCTATTATCTCCATTTTATGTCTGTGTGTTCCCACTGATTAGCTCCCACTTATAAGTGAGAACACATGGTGTATAGTTCTCCGTTCCTGCGTTAATCCACATAGGATAATGGCCTCCAGCAGCATCCATGTTGCTGCAAAAGACATAACTTCATTCTTTTTTATGGCTGTGTAGTATTCCATGGTGTGTATGTACTGCATTTTCTTTATCCAGTTAACTGTTGATGGGCACTAAGGCTGGTTCCACAACTTTGTTATTGTGAATAGTGCTGTAATGAATATATTATATAATATATATAGTGCTGTAATGAATATAAGTATACATTATAATGATTAATATATACTTGATGAATACTATAATGATTTCTTTACCTTTGGGTAGATATCCAGTACTGAGATTGCAGGATAAATGGCAGTCCTGTCATGATTTCTCTGAGGAATCTCCATACTGTTTTCCAAAGCGGTTGAACTAATTTACCTCCCCACCAACAATATATAAGTGTTCCCTTTTTTTCACATCCATGCCAACATATGTTATTTTTTGACTTTTTAGTGATAGCCAGTCTGACTGGTGTCGGATGGTATCTCATTGAGGCGGTATTTTCCATTTGTATTTCACTTCCCTGTTCCTTGTCCTGCTGTTCCAGACGGATCTCCTTGCTTCTTCGAGTTCATGTCCCGAACGTCCTGGCTGTGCATGCCCACGCTCGGGTGTGCATGTTAGGAAGCAGCTAGAAGGGCTCCACTTCCTCTCAGTGACCTTAAGTCCAGTTGCCAAGACCTCCTGGGACTCCACAAATGGGTCGATGATACAAGACATGCTTCCCTCTGCCCCTAGACCTACTGGAGAGGACCAAAATACCCCACCCGCTAACCAATTTGCAAAATGGAGTTTGCCGTCTGAAGCAGAGGTCAACGTCTTCGACATCGATACAGAAAGCTGGAACAGTGAGGCCATGCCCTGCACTGCCTCTCCTTCCCTCCCCAGACCCACATACATTTTTACTCACCCCTTGGTTTTATCAGGTAAGACCAACCACAGACACTGCTCAAGGAGGTCCCACAAAACCTATGGGACATTCCCCACCATCCTATGGGTACAATTCACCTTGGAGCCATCTCTCTTCGAGGACTGGGCTTATTTCCCCCAAACATGTTTCCACTCTGTATTTCAGCAGCCCTGATTTGTGCAAATGGTTTGCTCACAGCCATCAAAGAAGCACCATCCTTTTGTTAGGGGAAGCACCTGGTGCCCACTATGTGACTTCGTCCACTTGAGCTTCTCACCACTCAGGGTGAGAGGGTAGGGTGGCATTTCAGAAAAACATCAGGAAAGGGAGACTTGGAATCAGAGAATGGAAGTACAGAAAGGAATTAAAACATCACCTTCTCCAATTCTCTATGCCACACGTGGGGAAACTGAGGCACGGGGCAAAGAAGAAAGAAGCACTTGGGTTTACACATGGTAAACTCCCCTGCGGCCCATCCCTGCCTCACCACATGGCCCTGCCTTACAGTACATTCAGGCGTGCGGGTCCATCCATGCTCCAGACACACCCAGAGCAGGCCCCACCTGCAGGGGCACTCGCCGTCTCCCTCACAGCTGACCAGGCTCTACCACAGACCCTCGGCTGGGCCTAGATCAGAAACCTGGAGGCGAACAAGCTCCCATCTCCATAACACACACAGTCGGGGGGACTGCAATGCTTCCTCCCCATACCGGCCCCTAAACTTACTCTTATGTCCATCTCTTACTGTGGCCCTGCGTGTCCTCTTTCCTAGTTCTTCCCCTGTTAATTACCATCCTACTCCCTGCCATGGAGCCTTCTAGAACCCTGGTTCTATGACGTCATGATGATGATGACGATGACAACGATAGTGGCAATCATTTATTAAGCCCTGCCCTGGCCTAAGGCACCACATGGGTCGTTTCTTCCAGGTTCCAACTCAATTCTGCTTTGCCACATGGTAACACAATCCTATCATGGAAGCACCATCATTACCGCCATCGCAGGGGAAGCCCAAAAAGGTGACGTATCTCGCTCAATCTCACGCAGAAAAGCCAGGATTCAGGCCTGCGAGCTCTTCCACTTCAGTCACCCTCGCCCAGCAGTGTCCCAGAATAGTGTCGTCACCACAGGGTGGGAGGGACGGGTCTCAGAACTCTAACATCCCCATGTCCTCCCCTCGACCACAGCCGCCGTTGCTCCCAGTCTTCAGACGCCGGGTTTTCTTCCCAGAGACCTGCAGGAAAGTGACGCCAGCCCCCTGCCCCTTGCATCAGTCCCTCCTGGCAGCTCCTCCCTCCCACACAGCCCAGAACCCACACTGCTTCATAAGAACACACTGGCCTCAGCTGGGCACTCAGTTATTCTACATTTCTTCCTTGTCCTTAAACCTACAGAGATTGTACCCTGCTCGCCCCTCCTGCTCCCACGTGACTGAGAGCTAATGGTAAGAATTTCTCCACTGTGTAGCACTGCATATGGGCCCCTCCATATGTAGCACTGCATCTCCGCTGCGCCCTGGGTCCCTCCATCAGGGCTCTCCGCCTCTGTTTTCAGCTTCCTCTTTTGTTCCTCCCAGTGCTCTTATGACCTCTTCCTTCCACCTCCAAATTTAGCGACATTCATGGAGACACCTTCCTGCCTGTCTCACCAACCACTGAAGACCAACCTTCCCTCCTTGCTCTTCCCTGTCACCCACGGTCCTCTATCTCCTCCACTCTGTTCTCCCCATCACCACCAGCTAAAGCACTCCTACCATAAACCAACAAACTAACCACTCTTAACGTGATGAGCTCCTCCCTCTCACTCAGTCCATCATCAGTGACCTTCCCCTAGGCAGATCTCATGGACACCCACTCCTCAGTCCTTGTGTGGCTGAACATAGCTGCTGTGTTCATCACCACTGAACACTCCTGTCATCTTGAAACTATCTACCCGCTTGGCCTCGGGTTTTCTTCCTTCCTCCATGACCACTCCAGCTCAGCTCCACCCAGGACTTCCTCATTCTTGACCTGTCCCTGGTTGGTGGTGGTCCCCAGGCTTCCACTGACAATCTGCCCCATTTCCCCCGCCATAGCTTTACCTATCACTCCAGGTGCTAACCCAAGCTCTTCCCACAGATCTCAGGCTTAGCTCCAAACTGGCTGGACATCTCCAGTTGTCTTTAGTAAAGAATATGCTCATGACAATGGCCCACAATCTTGCTTCCCAGGGTGACTTGACAGTGTGGTTTCGGATTACAGCCTGGCTTCCTGGGGTGATCCATCACAAGAATAAAGTGTTGATAATGCCAATGGGTACATTTCCAGGTCAGGGCGGTTGTGTTTCTCTCAGCAAATGAATGGGTCATTTCCCCAGCACCTGAAGGTGGTGAGAGTTGGTCTCAGCTCTGATAACCCAGGCTCTGCCAAAAGTGTGACCTTGGGCTTTGGGGGAGTGAACAGAGTCAGTGATACAGTGTGGTGGTGTCCATCTGTCCTTGCTCAAAGCCGATCTCTACCTGCACCTGTTCTGAATCTGAGTTCTGCATTAAGAGAGCAGTTGAGTGTTGATGTATGGACAGAGCCAGCCCCCAGCTCTTCTGGACTCACTATTTGCAGGCAACTTATGGGCATGCTTGAGCCATAGGATCATTGCACCCCAGTGCACAGGGCAGGGTCCCCATCCATATTCACCCCACTAGACATGAGGTAGCCCTTACAGTGTGCAGTGTCACAACCTGGGGGAGTGGTGGTAGGCAGCCACTGGGAAGAAGCACCCTCTTCAAGCAGGTTTGATGTTGCTTCAACTCTCAAATCCTCCTCAAGGTTTAATGTTGCTTCAACTCTCAAAACTGCTGCCGATGATTTACAAGGTCCTGAATGGGAAATGACACACAGCACATGCGTCTGATGGCAGCACCTCCTGGATACTCCATCTGGACTTGAAAATGCAGAAGGAACAGTAGGAGGAAGTCTAACCAGGAAGCTGTCGTTCAGATGCCCCCTCTGTCACTCACTCACTGCGTGACCTTGGGACAGTGACCAGTTCTTCTGAACCTCAGGATGCTTATCTATGAGACATTTACCACAATCCCACCCTGCCTCCTCACCGGTTTGACTCAATGCTCTGCTGTGGTTACCCTCAGAGCTGTCATGAGTGAGCCCAGAGGATGACAGAGCCAGCAGGGGTGGTGTCTTCGCAATCCTCACGCTGGCTGTCCCGACGTGGTCCCCTCTGCTGCTCCCCCTTTCCACGGCCGGCTCCTTCTCATCCAACAGGCTTCAGCCCAGGAGTCACCGCCTCAGAGTGGACTTCCCGCCACTCACCCCAGTGTAGCCACCAACTCAAGGCACTTTCTAAATGATACCTCTGCTCTGTTTTTCGAAGAAAGTCTCAAACTTACCTTCCAGGGAAACTGACCAAACCAAGGAGTCCTGACCGTAAGTCCCTCCTGGAGCCAAGATCAGGGAATTCCTACACAAATCAGATGACGTGGCCTTTTCTTTGAGCCTCTCTCCAATGCTAGTCTTCTAGTCATCACCAACTAGAAGTTTTTTAATTTATGTATTATACTGCTTACTTGCTATCTGGTGGTCTGCAAAGTATAGATGTATCTTAGTCACTGAAGTAGAACCTGCCTGGCTCACAGTAGGTCCTCAATAGACATTGACTGAATAGCTAACGAGGGGATGATTGAGCGGACATCCCTGCCCGAGGCTGGGACACCTGGGCTTGATAGATCCTGGTTCCCAGGTCTCAGTGCATCTGCCTCTCATCGCCTCCTTTGCCAGTCACTTCCTCAATGATGGAAAGAGTCGAAGTTCTCCTGCTGGATGCATTTTCCCTGAATTTGGGGAACCCAAGACAGTGTCAAGCCTACAGTGAGCTCTGAGCCCCTTCAGGAGAGCCAACTCTGGATACAGCCCCCCAGGTACCCCTATGAATTTTCCCCTATAAAAAATGAGAAATCTGTAGCTGGGTGCAGTGGCTCATGTCTGTAATCCCAGCACTTTGGGAGGCCGAAGTGGATGGATCACTTGAGGTCACGAGTTCAAGACTAGCCTAGCAAACATGGCAAAACCCCATCTCTACTAAAAATACAAAAATTAGCCAGCTATGGTGGCACATGCCTATAATCCCAGCTACTCAGGAGGCTGAGGGACAAGAATCGCTTGAACCTGGGAGGCAGAGGTTGCAGTGAGCTGAGATCGCACCCCTGCAGCTGCTACACTCCAGCCTGGGTGACAGAGAAAAACTCTGTCTCAAGAAAAGGAAGAATCTTCCATTGTAAACATGACCAGACCTTACTCATGAAAGAAGTTCCTTTTGATGCCTTCTTAGAGCAGTGTGCTCAACCACCAAACAGAGCTGGGACTTCTGTCCTTCCGAAGCCACTCCCGTAGAGCAGAGACAGGCACCTGTCTCTGCATAAGCCCTTCTTTCTCTGTAGTATTTTCCCAAAACAGGTGAGGAAACAGGGATCTGTCCTGTTATTTGACCTGTGTGATGACTCCTATCCATGTCTGGTATCATCACTCCCATCTCCGAACATTCCACAGCAGTGACTGCTGCCCAGACCTCCGGCTAGATGGGAGCCCTGACCGTCTGTTCTCTGTGCACCTGGTCAGCTGCTCTTCACTTGGATTGCAGCCTCTTGAGGGACTCAGCTTGCAACACCTCACATCAAGTAGACCAACAAGCCACCTTGTTTGGCTGAAATATAAGTTCGTTCTGCAATTTGGCCATCGGAGGAGGGTAAGAAAGAAGATAGACAGAAAAACAGACGAAATGGAAGGAAAAAGACACGCACCCAGGAGCAGAGAAAAGACACAGGAAAAAGAAAAAAAAAACTAGTTTAAGGGAGAGGGGGAAATGAATCATACATAAGGGAGAGGGGGAAATGAAGCAAAAGAAGATTAAGGGGAGAAATTCTCTAAGATCTTTCAAAAACTAACTGCTGTCTATAAAGGAGTGACGGGACATGAGGTGAGGATTATACGGTGCTGTCCACTTGGCACAAAGGGTGCAAAGTCTTAACAACCCCCTGCCACCTGCACCTCCCACTGCGCCATGCTGTGAGCTGCAAGAAGCTCCATTCCAGCTCAAAAGATGCTGCAAGCTCAGAAGTAGAAAACTTGTCCTCAGATGCAACAACAGTTGTCAGAGCAATGTTACCCTGGGTCGTGAAGAACCCATGTCTGCATGGAAGAAACCTGGGCTGCCCCAGTCCCTGGCCAAAGGTTTGCCAAGCACCCTCAGAAGACCCGCAATTGTCAGGGAAAGTGAACTTGGTCCCCCGCCCCCCAAATCCCTGCCTGTTCTCATTGCTTCATAGTCCAGTACAGTCCCCGACCCAGACCCAGGCCTCCCGAGAAGCCAGTGAGGTGAAGTCATTCGAGGGAGCCTCATCCCTGATGGGTGGGCACAGGCCCTGTCTGACTTGCCCAACTCATATCACTCAGAAATCGGAGGAGGTGGTACTTGGGGGGCAGTAGAATGAGGCTCCAAGAAGTCACTGTCGTCTCCGTGGGCCACGCCAGGGTTCAAGACCAGATCATCGCTCCCATGGCCAAGGGATCTCTGGAAGGTCCCCTTTGCCACCAAGAGCCTGCCCTTTTCTGCCTGTTTTGAAAGGAGTTTTCCTAAACACAGCCTCCTCCATCAGGAAGTTTGAATGTATAAACAGCGACTCTTATTCAGAAAAGCAGCGACGAGCAGTTTTATATAAAAGTTACATCTCCATTTAAGAAAGAATATATAATTCCACATTCCACTGTCCCTCGAACTTTATTCCCGTTTATGTAGATCTTAATACAGTTATATAGTCGCGGGGCTAACGTCCCCTCCGGATGGTAATGAGGTCCTCTCGAACCCGTTAGCTGCTATAAAGTATGCAGAAGTTAAATGCACAGATAGAAAAAAATTTGTCTCAATTTTATACTTCTGCAAAATGGTAATTTTGTACTTAAAATGTACAAGATGGATGTTCAGAAATATAGGCTGATAGCCTAAATTATATTTGGTCATAATTTATGTAGTACAGTCCCAAAGAGATACAAAAAGGCAGAGCATAATTTATCTGCTGGAATCAGCGATAGCTTTGCTAAAACTCCCATTTATTCCATCCCCCATAGTTTTAAGCAGGCTTCGTCCTCAGGGCTCACTCTATTTAAGTTTTCCATACTGCTGTTTGATCACATATTGTACTCTATAATTTGCCTATCATCTGAAGCAAATTTAGGTCTCAGAAGTTATGATCTCTACATAGCAACCACTTTATTTGGTAAATGCAAAATATTTATAGCAATATAAAAACCAGATGAAAATAAAATTCCTATAATCATTGGAACGTACACACTTTATCATTGGGGCTCATAAGACCATTAGAGTAAGACTAGTATGTTGCCTAATACAATTACCTTTGGACGCTCACTCAAATTTGCTGATGCTTGGGAACCGGAAAAA